TTCAGAGAATGATGGTGGATTACCACAAACTTAATCAAATGGTGGCTCTGATTGCAGCTGCTGCACCAGGTGTGGTTTCCTTGCTTGAGTAGATTAACATACCTCCCGGTACCTGGTACGAAGCTATTGATTTGGCACATGCCTTTTTCTCCATACCTATCCATAACACCGAGCAGAAGCAATTTTCTTTTAGCTGGCAAGGTCAGCAATACACCTTCACGGCCCTATCTTAAGGCTATATCCACTCTCCAACCCCATATTACAACTTAGTTTGCAGGGATCTTGATTGTCATTCTCTTTTACAAGGTATCACACTGGTTCATTACATTGCTGACATTATGCTGATTGAACCAAGTAAACAAACGGTAGCAACCACTTTGGACATATTGGTAAAGCACTTGAGTGTCCGCAAATGGGAAATAAATACAGCTAAAATTCAAGGGCTTTCTACCCCAGGGAAATTTCTAGGAATCCAGTGGTATAGGCATGCAAAGGTGTCCCTTCTAAGGTGAAGGATAAGCTGCTGCATCTGTTTCCTCCTACAAAGAAGAAAGAGGCACGATGCCTACTAGGCTTATTTGGATTTTGGAGGCTACACGTTCCTCACTTGGGTGTGTTACTCTCACCCATTTACCAAGTGACCCAGAAAGCTGCTAGTTTTGAGTGTGGTTCAGAACAAGAGAAGACAATGCACAGGCTGCTCTAACACTTGGGTCGTATTACCCAGAAGATCCAATGATACTTGAGGGGTCAGTGAGGACAGGGGTGCTGTTTGGAGCCTCTGAAAGGCCCCTGTAGGTGAACCACAACGGAGGTCCTTAGGATTTTGGAGCAAAGATCTGTCATGATCTGAGAAACAGCTCCTGGCCTGCCACTGGGAATTATTGGAAACTGATTGCTTGACCATGGGACACCAAGATACCATGGGACACCAAGCTACCATGGGACACCAAGCTACCATGAGACCTAAGGTGCTCATCCCGAACTGTTCTTATCTGGCCTACTGAGCCATAGAGTCAGACATGCCCAGCAACAATCCATTGTCGAATGGAAGTGGTGTATATACGATCTGGCTAGAGCAGGTCCTGAAGGCACAAGTAAGTTACATGAATAAGTGGCCCAAATGTCCATGATTCCTACTCCTGATATATTGCTTTCTTTCCCTTGGCATGCACCTATAGCCTCATAGATTGTACTCTATGATCAGTTGACAGAGGAAGAGAAAACTAAGGCCTGGTTTTACAGATGGTTCTGAATGTTATGCAGGCACCACCTCAAAGTGGGCAGCTGCAGCATTACAGCCCCTTTCTGGGACATCACTGAAGGACAGTGGTAAAGGGAAATCTTCATAGTGGGCAGAACCTCGGGCAATGCACTTGGTCATTGCTTAGAAGAAAATATGACCAGAGATGCGAACATGGGATGTAGCCAAAGATCTACCTGGATAGTCAAGGACTTGGAAGAAACATACTATAAATTTGGTGGTAAAGATCTTTGGGGAAGAGGTATGTGGATTGACCTTTCCAAATAGTCAAAGAATGTGAAGATATTTGTATCCTACACGAATGCTCACCAAAATGTGACCTCAGCAGAAGAGGAGTAATCAAGTGACTCATTCTGTGAATGGCTGTCAGCCTCTTTCCTCAACCACTTCTGTTATTGCCCAATGGGATCATGTACAAAGTGGCCATGGTGGCAGGGATGGAGGTTATGCATGGGCTCAGCAACATGGGCTTCCACTCACCAAGGCTGACCCCCTGATGTGCTCAATTCGCCAGCAACAGAGACCAACATTGAGTCTCCAGTATGGAACCACTCCCTGGTGTGATCAGTCTGTGACCTGGTGGCAGGTTGATTATATTGGATCTTTTCCATCATAGAAGAGGCAATGCTTTGTTAGACATTTATTCCGGGTATGGATTTGCCTACCTTGCACTTAATGCTTCTGCCAGAACTACCATCCTGGGACTTACTGAATGCCTCATTAACCATTAGTATTTCACACAGCATTGCCTCTGACCAAGGAATATACTTCACTGCCAAAGAAGTGTGGCATTAGGCTCATGCTCAGAGAACCCACTGACTGCTCTTCCCATATTTCCTACCATGCAGAAGCAGCTGGATTGATAGAACGGTGGAGTGGCCTTTTGACAGTTATAGTATCAGAGAGGAGGCAATACCTTGCAGGACTGGGGCAAGGTTCCCCAAAAACCTGTATGTTCTCTGAATCATCATCCAATATATGGGACTGTTTCTCCATAAGCTCGGATTCATGAATCTAGGAATCAAGGTGTGGAAATGGGAATTATATCACTCACCATTACCCCTAGTGACCCAGTAACAAAAGTTTTGCTTCCTATTCTCATTGCTTTATGTTCTGCTGGCCTAGAAGTCATAGTTCTGGGTGAGTAGAGGGGCTTCTACCAGGAGGCACAACAAAGATGCTATTGAACTGGAAGCTAAGACTGCCTCCTGGCCATTTGGGCTCCTCTTCCCCTGAGTCAACAGGCTAAAGAGGAGTCACAGCATTGCCAGGGATGAGTGATGCAGACTATCAAGGAGAAACTGGACTACTACTCCATAATGGAGGTAAGCAGGGGTATGTTTAGAGCACAGGAGATTGCTTAGGGATCTCCTAGTAACACTATGCCCTGTTATTGAGGTCAGCAAGAAACTACCACAGCCTTGTATAAGCAGGATGACAAATAGCCCAGACCCTTCAGGAATGGAGGTATGGGTCACCTTGTCAGGTGACCCTCTGAAGTGCTGCTGATGGGCATGGGAATACAGAATGGGTGGTAGAAGAAGGTACATAAATATCAGCCATGACTGACTCGTTTCAGAAACAAGGACTGTAATTCTCACAAGTATTTCTTTTCTATTTTGCTAATATGCTTGTCCCTATGCACACATATACTTGGTTTTCTTTCTTTGGCTTCCTATGCCATATGATAGAACACTGACTTAATATCAGTACTTAAGCATGGTTATAAGTTCTATATGTCAGGAGAGGAGTAAGCACCCCCTAAAGAAAGATTCTCTATTCTGTGAAAGGAATTAGTGCATTTGTGGTTGTGTGCAGGATAGTTATGTGATGTTAGGTAGAATTGTGAACTTGGTGTTGGTCTTTATTTGAAGATTAAGCGTGGTTTAAGGGAATGTGCCTGGTTGTCAAATTGACAAAGGGTAGATTGTGACTGTTAACTGTGATGTATCAACTTGGCTGAAATAAGAAACACTTAGCAGATTAGTAAAGTACCCTTCTGGATGTGTCCATGAGGTGTTTCCAAAAGTTACTGGCACATGCAGGCCAGCAGACTGAGAGGGGAAGACCCACCCTGAATGTGGGTGGCACCGACTAATAGGTTTATAGCCTGGATGGAGTAAAAGCTAAAGGTGGAGGAAATCAGTCTGCACTTGAGACAGCTCCATTCTGTCCGGTTGGGTACATTGTTCACTGTATCATTGCCTGTGGCTATCAGGCTCCAGCTTCTTAAGCCTTTCAACAGAGACTCATACCAGGTGTTCGCCAGGGGGCTTCCAGGCCTTCAGCTTTGGACTGGTGGTGCATCCTGTGCTCCTCCTTCTCCGTGGCTTCCAGCTCCTTAGACAGAACAGCTACTGGAACCTCAGGCTCACCAGCACCTAGATGGGCATTTTGGACTCTCCCACCTCTGAGCCTATAAGCCTAATAAATCTGTGTGTGTGTGTGTGTGTGTGTGTGTGTGTGTTATTGATTCTGTTCCTCTAGAAAACACTAACCAATACACCAGGCCAGATCCCAAGCGGAGGATCTAGGTGGGTTAGAATCCAGAAGAATGGACACAGGGTGATGCGTCTATGAGCAGGGCCAGCGAGGAGGCCCTGACTGGTGAGAGAGCGGGTGTTCCACCTCATCAGAGCTGGGGGTCCCAGGAAAGCCTGTGCCCAGGGTTGCTCTTTTGAAATAACTCCTCCTGATGCTTTTCTCATTGTAGCACGCTCCACAAGGAGACTTTAGGGGAACACACATAAAACCCAAGACCTGTTCTGTGTGTGTCTGTGCATGTGTGTGTGTATGTGTGTGTGTGTGTGTGAGTGATTGTTTTTTTGGAGCCTCTTGCAAACCTGTGGCCTCCCCGAGCCACAGTCCCATTGTCATCTGTCAGAACGCATCTTTGGAGAATTCTGGTTCTGATGGCATCCTGTGAGCTCATTAGCGTCTGTGTCTTCATCAGCTGCCACCTACAGCGTCCAGCTGTGCTGACGACTTCTCCCTGTCTGACATCTGAGAGGGAAGATATCCAGCAAGCAGTGAAGGCAAACTACGGGTGCTCTTAATTGATTCAGGAATTGCTGCCCAGGGAGCCACGGGGACAGAGTCCAAGTCACAAAGAGCATGGCACCCTGGGAGGAGTCTCCACACCCCCACCCCCATTCAACACCTATGGCCCTGGGCCTGCCCTGCCTTGCCCACCACCAGGGCTGGTGTGAAGATCCCTGGAGAAGTAGGAGGTGGAGGCCCACAGTGGGAGGCCAGGGCTTCAGGAAGATTTTTGTCTTCCAGCACTGCAGATTCCAGGACAGAAATGAACTGCGGGCTTGGAGACAAACGCAAATCACACACCCAGGCTTTCTTATGATTTGCTCTTTGACCCTCACTTACAAAACTATTCGTGTAGAAGCAGCTTGAGGCATAAGATGAGAACAGGAAGTTGGGGGGCACTAATTTGAAAATGCCCCTCTTCCCAACGCGCGTGCGCACACAATTACACAGCGGGCCCACCGCAGGGCCACTTCTTGGCCCCACTGCAAAAGAGGGCGTGGCAGGCAGCTACGGGGAGGGTTCGCTTCCAGGGATCCTTGAAGTTACCCCAGGTCCTGGGTTTGATCCTCCTCCAAACCCAGGCCCAGCCTGTCCTTTTGTGTCTTAGCTTTCCTGGTGTCCCGAACGCAGGGCCAGACCCCGTTGCCAGGCGCGCGTTGCCGGGTGACCCGCGGCTAATTCCGTCTGGCGCGCGTCGGAGCCAGGCTCGCTGCGCGCTGCCCAGCCATGGCCTCCCGCGGCGCGGACACCCTACTGACCGAGTTCAATGCGGCCTACGTGCCCTCCAGCCTCAAGCCCGGGTAAGCGACGCCCCGCCACACCACACCTGAGGGTGGTGCCTGCTGCCTCCTCGCACAGCGCCCCTCCTCGGGAAGCTCTGCTCCTGCGCCTGTGGGTTTGAACTCGCGGAGCCTCTGTTCCCCAGGCCTAGTGCCCTTGCTGGGGTGATCGCGCTCTCGGCAGGCGGTGTGCGGGAATCGGCGGGGGCTCCTGGATTCCCCTGGGTAGGAAGTCGGTGGCTGAGAGCGGACAGCTTGGGATAAGAGAATGGGGAGAAGATGGAGACACAAGTGGGCTTTGGGGTTTGGAGAAGCCTGAGGCAGCAGTCTGGAGCACAGAGAACGTAGAGGCCTGCTAGAAAGGAAATGGGCAGTGTGGGACAGGATTCCAGCCGCATTGGTGTCTGTGGACCGGATCTGGCAGGGCAGGCTGGGCAGCTGTGCATAGTTGGTAGCGTGTACCATCCACCCGACTCTCAGAGTACTTTCTCCTGCAAACTGAGCAGACTGCAGAATGCAAAGACCTCATGGTGTGTTTTGTGTGAATTCTGGATGGTTTTCAAACAGAGTAGGCAAACATGGAGGGACTGTCACATTAATGTCATTTCCCAAGGCTGCGCGTCAGAAGGAGCTGCAGCAGGGAGCTGGGGCTTGACTTCTCACCCAGAGCACCAGGAACCACTTATCTCTGGGCCTCGGACAGCCCGAGAGCTACTTCAATTCCCAGCAAAGCTGATTTAACAGACACAAAAATTTCCTGAAGCAAAGCCAGGGGTGTTGGTAAAGGTGCCTTAGGAATTGTCAATTCTTTCATTCTTTCATTCTTTTATTCACTAGAGAATGACATGTCCAGTACTGGGGGAGGGCACTAGATGTTGTGTTAAGATGCCGTGCAGACAAACAAGTGGGGCTCCCCTCCCAGTATTGTGTAAATGCATAAGTTTCAGTTCATGTCCATCTTGCAGACTGAGCAAGTGGTGTTAGCACCACATTCTGGCTGTTGATCAGGATTTTTTTTTTCTTAAGCCTTACATAGCTTCTGGTTGAAACTTCTTCTATTGCCCAACTCCTTGGCCATCTGCTGTCCATGGGGCCAGGCCCGGTGCACCTGCAGATCTTGCCCCATGGCTCCCCCATGCTCTGAAAGAGGTGGGAGCAGCTGGCTTGGGGAGCAATTCCCAGGCTGCCCCTCTGTCCCTGCCACTTGTCTGTGGTTCCCGAGAGCACAGGACCCATCCTGTGATTGATTTAGAAATAGTGATTGATACCAGTGGGTCATACATTCAGCTTCCAGCCTGCCCTGGCCAGGCTGAGCTGCTGGGCTGAGTCTGCTGGTTTCTGGGCTGGGTCTTTCTGGGAGGGATGCACTCCCCCTCTAGGAGGTTAAGTTGTTTTCTGTTTCTGAATGCTACCTCCTTAGGAATTTTCTTAACTTATTGAAAGAATCCACGATTTCTCACCACACTTAGATAATTACTATTTTTGTGTGCCTTTTCAAACACTAATCACAGATTTTACACTGCAGCCAGTCTCTTCTGACACTCAAATCACCTCCTTTGCAGTTTTATTCATAAAGGCAGAGGATATTTAGTCTAGTAAGGACCTCAAAGATCTTTTAGACCAGGCCCCTTCTGTTCCGGACTTGAGCACTGAGGTCTGGAGGGTCTGGCCTGAACCCCACACTGGCAATGGCAGAGATGGGCTAGAATTGTCTCCCTGGTGCCCAGCGGGCACCATGTATGAGCACCAAGCATGCTCCAGGCATTGTGCTGGCTCCTGTATTAACCCTCTTTTTTAATAAAAAGATCTACATAACAACAAAGCCTGGTCATGCACTCCTGTAATCCCAGCACTCAGGAGGCTGAGGCAGCAGGATCATGAGTCCGAGGCCACCTGGACTACATAGAGAGACCCTGTGCTAAACAAATAAAAAACAAAAACAAGCTACATAATCACCCAGATGAGGAATGAGCAGTTTTCCTGAGGCCATTCAGCAACCCAGCCAAGTGTCTGTGACTTTAATACCCCTGCTCACCCCAGTTATCCACCCCAGACCTCCAGGCAGCCTTTCATCTGCCTCCCGCCCTCAGCAGGAAGGGAATGGAGTAGACGCGGAGAGAGACTGCAGCCAGCTGATGGTTTCCAGTCCAGGCTGCATCATTCCGTACCCTGGATGACTTCCATCTCCTCTTGGTGCCTCCCTTACTTTACCTGTTTAAAGGGGATCACAATGGTGTACAAGTTAGAGGAAGCTGGTGTCGGTGAATCGGCATTAGTAACTTAGCTATTACCACTAGTTAGACTCTGCTGTGCTCCAGCCCTTGGCTGGGTCCTCCACAGGAGAGGCCACGGTGCTGGTGTCCCAGTGGCTGTGAGAGGATGTGGTCTGCCGGATGATGTAGTCGGCCCGGGTGCTCCCTTTTGTTCCTGTCACTTCTAGGCATTGCAGCTCCCAAGCACTTGGCTGCATGTGCCTGGCCTGGGTGCCACCCTGCTGTGGGCAGGGAGCTCCCGGCTCAGTGTCCTAGGGCCGACTGGCCTCAGTAAGAATCTGCCTCCCGCCAGCAGGTCGGCCCTGGGGGCAGCCTTCCTGGCCTTGGCCTCCCACCCTGTTCCCTAGGCTTTCCGTGTATTCCTTCACGCCCAGCCTGATACTGCCCTATGCTCGAAGCTCTTGCCAAGCAGCTCTCACCAAAAGCTAGAGCAAGAGGATTTGCACCCAGCCCTTCCCGCCATCTGCCTGGACAGGAAGTTGGGCTCTCACCTGCCATGGAGCTGGGCCTCAGGGCCTAAACCAGTACGTTCCACCCTCATGCTCCTCGGGAGGACCGTGTCACAGAGGGGCCTGTGCGCTGTCCCCAGCAGACACGCACCCCCGGTGGTGCACCCCGCTCCCTGGGGGAGAGAAGCCTCCGCCCTTACCTGCGGCATGAATGTCCCATGCCCATTTCAGGCTGTCCTCGGCGTCCCTAATGACCGAGGTTTCACTTCCCCAGCTCCACTTACTCCAGGTCAAATGTGGTCCGAAAGCCTTGGATGGGAAATTCCAGAAAGAAACAATTTAGAAGTTCCAAATAACTTTTATTATAGTATATTGTTATAATGATCGTATTGCATCACTGTTTTTTATCATGTCTTACTTTGCCGAACTGATCAGTTACGCTTCACCTGTCATAGGCGTGCGGGTAAGGAAAAGCGCAGTGTTGCAGAGTTCAGTGCACTCCCAGGCTTCGGCCTCCCGGGGCTCAGACATACTTTTCGAGGAGCAAAACAGTGAGATGCAATAAAATGATAGGAAACCATGAGTTTGGAGGGTTTACAACTTTCATTTTTACTATGCGCTGTTCTCCTCGGCAGCCCCATCACGGCAGCTGGCTACTTTCTGCCAGTCCTCACTCCCAACTTGGGGAGCAGAGCTGGCCCAGACTCAAGCCCCAAATGCATAGGACACAGGGAATAAGATTCAGAGCCCCAGTGCCCTTTGCTGCGACTCTGCCCAGCAGGCAACCCCATCCTTACTCTCCCTGGAGGCAGCTTATTGAATGGAGTCCTCTGCCTGCTCTTCCAGCTTCTCCTCTGAGGACCCACAGGCCCCTCCCCGAGCCCTCAGCCCTTCCCAGCTCCATATCCACAGAGCCCCACCTGGCTGGGGCAAGGCAGGGACACAGATAGGAGTAAACCATGGCCCTCTTGAGAGCCCCAGACCGAGTCACGCGGAAGACGCCGAATCAGCCCATGTCCCGGCAACAATCCACTGGACCCCCCACCCCCCGCTCCTCTGTACAGCCACCTGGTTCCACACTACAAAGACACAGAGGACACCGGACCACCAGACCATGGTACTGAGTCCCGCTGCTCCCGGCCCAGAGGTAGGGGCTTCTGAGCCGCCATCCCATTGCTCCTGGTCCAGAGGATGGGGCTTCCCGGCCACCATCCCGCCTGCTGCTCCCAGCCCTCAGGAAAGGGCTTTTGGGCCACCATCCTACCACTGCTCCCGGGCCCTGTCCCACCCCTCCCAGCTCAGAGGAGGTAATCCTTGCTGGCACCAACAGCCCCGCCCCAGTCAAAATGAGAAAACATGTAAATAAGTCTCAAAACCAGACTCCCAGATCACCTACAGCAACCCCAAAGGGAAATGAGATGGAACACTCTGATACTCAACCACCTGGACCCACTGAACTGGCAACAAAAGGGGATCTGGAAAAAATGAAATCAGAAATAATTTCTCACATAACAGGAGAACTTCAGCCCCTAGTGCAAGACATGATTAATAAAACTAGAGAGGAGCTGAGGAACATGATGGAATCCCAACATAGGAAACAAATGGAATCCATAAAACAGATGCAAATAGATTTCCAGGACATGAAAAACTCCATTGAAAGTCTGCACAGCAGAATGAGCCAATGAGAGGACAGAATTTCAGATATAGAAGATAAGATTGAAATTAGTGACCAGGAAAAGAAAACTTGCTTCAAAATTATAAAGGACCATGAGAAATCAATCCAGCAGCTGCTAGATGATGCAAAGAAGAATAACATGAGACTGATTGGAGTCAGTGGAGAGCCCCAGAGAATCTGTAACCCGGGAAGGAAGAAAACTTGAAGGGGCCAGCTCTTCACAACACAGCAGAGTGTGAACTGGGAGGTGCGAAAGGTAGAGCCAGGATAAATGATGCGGGAGGCAGGCAGGGGCTACCGGGTGGGTCAGAACGGGCTCCATGGAAACAAAGTCCTTGAAAGGTACCTGGAAGATGGATAAGATCACCCCAGGGCAGGGGGGTCGTCTGAATGGAGGGCAGGGCTTCACAAATGCTGGGCTGGAGGCTCCACAGGACGCGCTTTCAAAGCAGTGGATGTCCTCTGGCCACAGCGGCAAAGCTGCGATATGGAAGCGGGCCACAAGGCTGGAAAGACCTCTCTCAGAGGCCACATCAGGAGGTCCCGAGCAGCTGGCCCAGCTGCTGTGTTCTTAATTTCACAGGCAGTGGGAGCCCTGGAAGGTTCTGCCCAGGGGAAGGATCTGATCAGAACCATCCTCAGCAGGAGATGTCGTGGAGAAGTGGAAAGGGGACATGCTGAATAGTAACAAGGTAGTTAATAAGGCTGCTCGTGGGATCCCTGAGGCTCATGGTAATTAATTTTAATGTTAGCTATGGGGCCAGCCAGTGCTCTTAAGAGGCAGGGAAGGGACTGGTCCCTGTACACACAGTAATCCACTGGGGGCTTTAGCATCCCAGTGCTCATTACCCAGAGGCCCGGCTCGGCCCAGATGGGAGCTTGTGCATGTACAGGTAGGTGGTGGAGGGACTAGGGGGCAGATGCACAGGTCAAGCAAGAGCAAAAGGTGTGAGTGTGCCATCCTCCGCCAGTCCCTTCTGTTACTTTCCACCTCGGCTGCACACAAAACAACAGCAGAGCTGCCAAGGGCTCTGCAGTGGAGCCACCATGGGTCATACGCAAGGCCAACAATGCGGGTGCACAAGAGAGACCCGCGCCGAGCTTGCCATGATGTGGCCACTGAGTGCTAAGGAATGTGACCATGCACACGTGTGCACGTGTAGTCAGGAGCGTGTGCGCGCACACACACATACACACACACCTGCCAGAGCAGCAAGTTCTGAAGGGAAGGCTGGGAGGCCTGCGGAGGAGGGGGCTTCTATTCTTTTGGAATGCAAATATCTCGGCATTCAGAGAGGCTGGGAAGGCAGGCAGCAGAGGAGGAGCATGGCAGAGAGCTTGGGGGTGGCAAAGAAGAATCAGGAGAACAGTCACGTTTCTATAGCTCCTTTCTTCAGAGAGCCCAACACCCCCATGGGAGGGCTGCTTCATGTGCCGTGATGCTCAGAGCTCACCCCTTCTAAAGCAGCGCTCCACAGCGTCCTGGGCCTGCGGTTCAGGGCTTCTCCCTCCTTCAGTGAGCAGTTATTGAGCACTTGTCGTGAGTCCCAGGCTGATGATTAGAGAGAACCCAAGTTGGTGGAAGAGGCAGATTCATGTGGATCTGGATCCGGGCTGATCGATGACAATCCTAATAGTAGGCACAGACCCTAGGCGCAAGGTGTGGTCAGGGAGGGCGACAGAGAGTGGACAATGGCAAACGCCCAGGTGGCAGGTAGAACTCCCACTGGGCTTGGAGGCCTGGGGTGCAGAGGGGCCCGTGACTGTAAGCACCGCCACTGGGCCTGGCCGCCTATGGGGCAGTGAGGGGCAGCGAGGAAGGTCGCTCTGGCCTCGGGGTGCACCCAGGCTGCGGAGCGTGAAACTTGGACTAGGAAGTTCAACGTTGTCAGGTGAGCACAGCAGTGGCTGGAGGAGGACAGAGGGTGGGCAAAGTGCCGGATGGGGAGGCCAGTTGGGGAGGCAGAATGGCAGGGCCACCGAGAACTCTGGTTTCTGGCTGAGGTGAAGGGTGGATGGGGTGGTGTTAACCAGGGAAGGAATATAACGCAGGGCATGAGGAAGGGTGGGCAGATCTTGGTCATACTGGGCAGCAGGGCATGTGGGTCTGTTGCTAGCATGGTTGGAGCCAGAGACAAATCCAGGCATCAAGGGTGTGCCAGAGGTGTTGGATGGGCCCTATGGGTGAGGCCTCCCAGGAGGAGTGAAAAGGAAAGGGTGCTGGGGCAGCACCAACACCAGAAAATGACCCCAATCCGCCCTTCCCCGAGGTCCTCCTCAAAGCCTCACCCCAGGGGACCCCATGGAGCTCGCCTATGCCGCCCATGGAATGGCCCTCCCCCTTGCATTTGATAACACGACCGCCTCCACCCAGGTCTGGCGTGGGTTAGAGCCGGTCACACCTGTGCCCACCCAGCACAGTACTCAGGATGTGCCCCTCATGACTCTGTAACTTCTCAGCAAAACCAGGAGTTTGGTGTGCCCAGGCCCTGTCACTGTGGTGGTGCCCAGTGGGTCCCCAACAAAGTGACATTTAATGCCATCAGACTCCGAAAAAGGATATGTACACCAAGAAGGAAGCAACAGATCACCCCGAGAATTAAACCAAGATTACACTGGGTGAGCAGCATTCCAGATCTGTCTGTGGGTGCATATTATGTGATGGAGGGGTGGAGATAAAGATAGAAGAAAGCAATCTTATAAAAAAATCATACTAAACTTGCTATTTCAAAATGAAGACCATGAAATTTAGTCTTAGCAGAGCTTAAGAGAAAGAAATTAAAATTCAGTGGAAGAACCAGTAGACTTTAGATAAATGTCAGCTCATCACAGATATGAATTCTTACAAGATCCCTCTAAAAGGAGGGAAATAAATCCCACCCAAGGGCGGAGCCATTCTGCAGTGTTTTAGTGATGGGTTTCAACTTCGATGCCGTGGGCGGACTGCAGGGTGTCCTTCTTAGCAAGTGCACCCCTCTCCTCCACCTACTCCCCAACTCCTTCGGTCGCTCAAGTTATTTTTACCTTGACAGATTTTACAACATTTGCATTCTGTTCGGCAAGCAGCACTCACCTGGATGCTATTCCTAGTTCTGTTCTTGAATCGAGCCGCGGAGCATCACCTCCCATTCTTACAGAGCTGCCACGCTTCTGAGCTGTTTTTTATTTTTTAATCACCTCTTGGTTGGCAGGTTTTTGCCATTGAAGATTACTTTCAAAAAGGGCTGTGAGTGCTTTTTTCCCTGCATGTTTTTTGCCTGAAGAAAGTTCTGGCTTCCTACCTGGTTGGACATGTGGGTGTTCTCTGTCCTGCAGAATGGGTGGGTGTCTGCATTCACATTTCATTCTGTTGCTTTATCTCTTTGTTGGGGTTCAGCAGACCTGATAACTGCGAGTCTTCTTTCATTCCCTACTTTCTGAACCAACTGAGCAGTAAGAGAGTAAGGATTGGTATCAGAACGTCTGCCAGATACATGGAAGCCCAGAATGAGGCAGGTGGGCCTGGCGTGTGTCCACCCAGAACTTCCGGGGCAATGTGTGTTTCCTTGCGTGCAAGAGAAAGGATGAGGAAGAAAGAGGTGGGCTATGGAGGTCCAGTTTCCCCTTGCACTCAATCAGCACCTGAATGTTCCTCCACATCTGTGGGCAGGAACCAGTGGGCATGGAGTCCCCTCCACACCAGGACACAGGATGGAAGGAAGCGGCATCTTCCTATCAGTCCCATTGTCTTTTACCTCTCAGTTTACCAAATCTGTATTTTTAGGAAGTTTCATCTACAGCAGGAAGTATGTCAGGATCCTGCTTCCACTCCTCAGGGTATATTTTCTTCTATAAAGTTTCTGCATCAGTGCAAATGTTGCAGAAAGACAGTGTAAGCCAAGAACACGGGTGATTTTATATGACCTTAATTAAAAAGTAGAGGTTCGTGTTTAAGTGGTGAGTCAGAAATCAGACTGAGGGCGGTCAGGAAAGAACAGGAGTTGAAGAAATAAAGGCAGAGGGGACAAGGTAGTCCTTGGAGAGATTAGGAAATAAAGGAAGCGAAGAGGTAGTGTGTGAGAGAACAGCAAGATCTCGTACAGAATTCTGCAACCTAGGGAAGGCCGTGCATGTCTCCAAGCTGAGAGGAGGAAGCCCAACGTGAAAGACAGCGGGGATGTTGCTGGTGCTGTGGTGAACACCTGTAAACCCGGCTACTTGGGAGGCTGGGCTGGGAAGATCACAAGTTCGAGGCCAGCCTGGACCCCTTAGTGAGTCTCCATCTCAAGATAAACTCAAAAGGGTTGGGGATGTAGCTCAGTAGTAGAGCACCCCCAGATTCATCCCCAGGGAGAGGTGGTGGAAGGGAAGGACAGAGAGAGGTGGAGAGCTGAAATGGGATCGTGAGGCTTCTGCAGCAGGAGGGGTGGGCTGCAGACCCTGGGACAAGGGGAGGCAAGCAGTGCAGACGGGAGTACTGTCCCTGGAAGTGGCTCACAGGAGGGGAAACTAGGAACCACCCCCCCACCCCCACCCCCGCCGCCCCGCTAATTTCCAGGTAAGCAGGAGACATGGCCACAGGCAGGGGACTTGTGTACCCGGCAGGAAGAGCTCCGAGGCCACAGGGTCACGGGGTTAAGTACAGTGTGTCTCGAGGGTCAGCTTGGCAGTCACCTTCCTTGCTGCTCTCCTTGCTGCGGCCTGGCAGCCTCCAGGCAACCAGATCCCCAGAAGGCACTGTGAGCAGGGAGTGTAGGACCAGGACCGACTCTAGATATTTTGCCTACAGCAGAAAGCGATCAGAAGGTGTCAGTAGTCTCTTTGTTTCGCTTTCTTACATTTTTTTCTGAAAAGGCAAAGAAGGTAATCACACGTCCTTCTTGGGGGGCAATGAGGCCCGGGGCATTGCCAGGCTATGGGGCGGGACCCATGCCTGGAACGCGCACGTTCTGGTGTGTGGTTGGGACTCTGATGAGAGAGAGAAAGGGAGCGTCAAGCCTCCTGGAGGAGCGATCTTAGGACAGGGCCCGGAGGAGGTCCCCGCAGCATGGTCACGGCCCCTGGGTGTTCACGTGCTCGGGTCCACCTGTAAACATCATCAGCGCTACAGGCACATCACCCACTCATTCTTTCATCTGTTTAATAAACAATTTCCTACCCACATACTGCGTGCCAGACCTGGCACTGCGCCCCAGAAATATGAACATGAATGAAACAGCAAGCTCTGCCCCCGAGAAGCTGCCGTCGGGGGAGGAGTAAAAGAGACTGAATGACAGGAGCAGCACAGAAAGAGAGGTGGCCATGGGGCGGACTTTAGGTGCAAAGAGAGCAGATACTGCCCTGACCTGGGGACCTGGCCATGGTGGCAATTCTTAGAAGAAGTGCCATTTGGAAGTCTTAAGAGACTGTTTAGCATTTGGGGGGCAAAGAGCAGGCTTGGAGGGCTGGGGTGGACAGGAGTGGGATCGTGATGGTGGAAGACACAGGGCAAGAACCCCGGAGAGGGGCAGAGGAGAGAGGGGGCCGGAATTACACCCCGAGAACCACGATGGGTCCTCGGGCGTCTGTGCAGCAACAGTGAGCCCAGAGAGGGAGGCAGGGGTCCGACCGCGGCAGCTCTGGATGCCTTGCTAAGGATTTGATTTTGGCGGCAGTGTGGAAGGTGGGTTGAGGGTGGGGTTGTGAGCTCAGGTAGGAGAACGTTGGGGACACAATGACCACAGTCCAGACGAGCGGTGACGGGGCTGAGCTCAGGGCGCGCGGTAGACCGCAGGCTTGGGTGACTGATTGGATGGGAGAGAGATGGACGCCCACGGTTCTGAGCTGGGCAGCTAGGGAGGACCCTGCTGAGATGGGAAGGGGAGTGGGGGATCTCGTCCGGAGCACGGGGGGGGGGGTGCCTGGTGTGCAAGCAGATACAGCAGATGAGGCCAGCTCCAGTAACGGAGGCCCGGGGCGGGAGAGGCACCCCGGCTCTGGCCATCCAAGCAGACAGCTGGGTGCAAAGGAAGAAGCCTGGCCCCTTCCCCCAAAGGCCCCAGCAGGGCAGTGCACCTCAGGGAGCCCTCAAGGCCAGAGGGACCACCAGGCCCTCCGCTTTTAAGGCCTCTCCCGGAAGGAAGTGGCCCTGGAGCACTTCGTTCCCTGTGTTCCCTCCGCCCGGCTCCGCTGCAGGTATCGAGGCCACATCCCTGGCATGGCCTTCTCCTTCGGCTGATCCTATGGTGCCACCACCCTCAAGTGCTTCCAGGATCTCCGCACTGCAGCCATGGAGAGGAGCCACAGGCCCCTCAGCAGCAGGGGCTCCCCCCCACCATCCTCTCCCCCAACCCCAACCTCGTGCTGATGGACCATTCGTGCCTCCTTGTGGACCCCTGGCAGCACCCGCCCAGTTACGCTTGCTGCATCCTGGATGGCCACCACGCTGCAGAGCTGGCGCACTTCTACCAGGTGAGCCGGATGGGCATGCGCCACCCTCCGGAGGAGCGGCTTGGTTTGCTTTCCAGAGGCGGCAGGGAAGCTGGAGATTTGGCTCAGGGGCAGGGCTGGGCTTGGGACTCTGCCTACCTGATCTCCCCTGGCCTGGGGCTTTGGGACTCCTGTCCCCGAGCACCACCGCTGCTGGTGGAGTGGGGTGTTTCTGAGTAAAAGGCCAAAGATTTGAGCACAGGATGAATCACGCACGACAGAGGACCACTGACCCCTCTGCCTGGGTCCAGGCTACTGGTTTACCCAGCTGGACCCTGGTGTCCCCGGCCTTCCCATTTCCCGGCCTCTCGAGGGTGTGCGCTGAGCCAGCTTCAGCCCAAGCAACACCAGGATGAAGGAGACCTGCCCACAGCCCTGTGGCCCTTATGAAGCATCCCCAGAAGGCCTCGGGGACCCAAGCTGGCCCTTGGCCCTGTGGAGATGACGGCTCATTCTCCGTGTCACTCTCTTTTAGGAACATCCTTCCCAGGCTGACTGCAAGGACACTGGGCCTGGTGTCAGGGCAGGGGACTTGGATAGGAAGGCAGCTTCCTAGGGGTGGAGAGGCTGCCGCCCGTAGACGCTGTCGCCTCACTCTTACATGGTACGCCTCCTGCCCTGCCCAGGAGGGAGGGAGGAGCAGACACAGGCCAAGCCCAGACTTTCACACCTCCTGGGCCTTCACAGCTCTCAGAGCTGCTTTCTCCTCTCCTTTACTGTCTGTAGCAAAGCTGGAGTGCAGATAGGGGGTGCGTGATCCCCATTAGACAAGGAACTGAGGCTCAGAGAGGACACCAGCTGATCAGCAGTCGGGCTGGGACTTCAGAAACCCCAGGAATCCTGCACGGACACTAGGGCAGGGTCTTAGACACTTTCCCATTACTGGAACGAAATATGTAACACTCACAACCTTGTTTTGGCTCACGGTTTTAGTCCCCGGTCAGCTGGCTCCAAGGCAGATATGGCGCGGTGGACCAGCCTGGGAGAGGGTGGCTGTTCAGCTGTGGTGGCAGGAAGCAGGCAGAGAAGGGAGGGGCCGGGGCAAGAGCACGCTCTTTGGAGTCACGTCCCACCTCACAGCACAATCAGCTCCTGACTCAGTAATGGATGAAGCCACTGACGGGCATAGGATCCAATGCCAGGATCCAATCACCTCCAAACACATGAGTCTTTGTGGGACATTTTAGATCTAAACCACAACAGTGAGACTGCCTCAGCCCTTCCCAGCACAGCAGGCACAGGTACAGGCCCCTAAAGTTTCTCCTGCTCACCAGCCACTGTCCTTTCTTCCCTGGTGGAGCTGCAGAAGACGCAGCAGCACCGGAAGTACTACAGAGGCTAGACCGGCACAGTGCCCCGGGTCCCCTACTTCGTGCTGCCTGTGAGGGAGAGGGAAGGGTACCCCATCCCCACCAACCTGTGAGTACCTGCCCTCTCTTCCCACCTGGCACCGACAAACACATCCACAGGGCACCAGCTCCCTCCAGGGGCCTGCAGGGAGCCCAGACACAAGCCAGTTCATGAGCTTGCCTTTGAGTGGCTGCAGGGCAGTGACAGCTACCGAGCTCCAGCAGCCTCAGGAGGTATGCCAGGAACCTAAATGTGGGGAATCAGGAAGGGTGCTTCCCCATCCTGAGGTTGGGAACACACCCCATAATGTTTGCTGGCCTGAGGCTGAGACTCCATCCTGCAAAGGCAGCATCAGCGCTGACTGGTCCAAATGTAGTGCAGCTGCTGCCCTCTGGTGGACATAGAGGACACTACAATGAGCAGGGAATCGTCCCCGAGCCCCAGCCAGGCCTGGAAAATGTTCTCCTAGAGACTTGAGGATGTCTCGAAAGGCCAGCTGGCCATCTAGAAAGAAGAAGAAGAAGGCGAAGGCGAAGGCGAAGGCGAAGGAGAAGGAGAAGGCATTAAAAATGGGATTCCTCACAGCCTGCCCTCATAGCTGCTGTTACCCGGGAGAGCGCCGTTCCCCCAGGGAAGGCCAGCTTTGCACTGTGAGGATCTGGAGCCACATCTCTCCCGCCTGCCACCCAGAGATGGGACCTCAAGCCTACTCCAGGCACCCTGTGGCAGGCGTGGGGTGGTGGCTGGTGCCGGGCTGAATGCCAACAGGCCTCCCAGGGCAGTCCTCCCCCACCTTTGTAACCCGCTCTCTGTCCAGGGAGGGGCACCGGGAGGTCAGCGACAGACCCCGGGTTTCCAGCCCTCCGCTGAGCCTACACTTGCCTCACCCGTCATTATGCTGTCTTAAAGACACGGCTCTCACTGCCCCTGGAAGGGCCCCACTGTAAGGCAGATGGGTCTGTTGTACAAAGAGGACCTCTGAAGCTCAGCGGCAGCCCCAGGGGCTTGGCTTGGGTGGGTGGGCTGGTTGGCAGCTGGGCTTGGAAGGGAACCCGTCTCTCCTGCGTCCAACGCTAGGGCCTGGGCTGACCATCTCCACTGCCCGGGGAGTGGGCCTCTCCTGGGGACGGTTCTCCTCTCGACCCCGTCTTGCCAGGGTGCCCCAGCTCTCTTGCTTCTCCGAATTGCCTGGTGTCCTCCCCTGCTGACAGTCTCATGCCCAATGCAGAGGATCAGCCAGGCGGTTGGGTGGAGGATAAGAGGGATCGGCTCTGTGGCCTGGGGCAGATCTTTCCCCTTCTAGAGTTTGATCACCGTCCCCACCATAATGGCCTTCACCACCATTATCACCATCGCTCGCACTTGGTCACGATCAGCATCACTGCCATTATCAACATCATGCGCTCCACCCCCACCCCCACCATTAATTATTACCTTCATCGCCGGCACTGCTGCAGTCACCAACACCACTGCACCACAATCTCCACTATCACCAGCACCACCATCACTGGTAACCTCTGTTGAGTTTTTACTCCTTGTCTAGCATTATGTTAAGAGCTTTAGTCCATTACCTCATGTCCTCCTCAAAACAAAGCTCAGGGGAGGGATACCGAGAGCAGCCCATATTTATACGTGCATATATGCAGCAGGAGATAGGGCCAGAAGCTATGCTGGGTCCATCTGATGCCTTTGTCCCCACTGCTGACTACCCGTACTGCCATGCAAGTACCTGTCCCTCCTCTCCCACGCCAGGGCAACTTGTCATGTGTTAAAGTGAGGACACCAGCAGGGCAGCGGGGCTGGAAGTGGCTTGTGAGGCTGTGGCAGGCACTGTTCGCCCTCCATCCTGGGCCCAGCGTCTGACACGGGCTCCGGCTTCACCTGCAGGCCTCCTCTGAGCCCCAAGGAGAAGTGGCATCTTTTAAGAGTCTCCCCTGGGAACTGGAGGACCTATCAGACCTTCCCATCTGGGAAGAGGGTGTCCCCACAGGAGCGACAGAAGAGGGACAGCTACTTTGAGTTCAGAGCTTGAGAGCAGATGGTTGCTGCCTGGGAGCCCAGGCCCTGACCTTGGCTTGCGTGGAATAAAATCTTCAGCCACCACATCCCATGCATCTGTCCTCTTTGTCCTAGGGACGTTTCACAAGGGCCGGAAAGTGACCCCAAGGTCGCTCAGCATCATGTCTTAAGCTCCTGTGGGAAACTCAGCCCAAGGACTCAGGCCACCGCTGTCCCAAGGTGGACAAGTAGGACCAAGCTGTGTGGCATCTCCAAGTCTCAGTGAGCGCTCACTCAGGCACAGAGACCGCTGGCCTGCATCCACGGACACAATCAAGGAAGCCGATTGGCCCATGTGTGAAAATGAGGGCAACGTGACCCAGGGCATCACCCTGGGTGTGAGATGGGCCGTTCTTACCCTGACCTGGCATGGTTTGGTTTATGGGATAATGGGGGGGGGGGTCTTGTCCTCACTTCCCTGATGAAGGGAGGGACAGTCAGAGGCGCTGAGAAAGTCACCAAGTTCACACAGTGAAGAGGAGACACAGCCAGGATCTGACTCCCGGGCCCGGGCTTTTCCACTCTACACCCTGCCTGTGGCCCACATGAGACTGAGGGGCAGCCTTTGGGACTCCAAAGAAGTGGTGGAGGAGCAGCATCTGGGACAAGAAGCCAGCTACTTCCTGCACTCTTCCCAGACTGCCAGGGACAGGCTGATTTGGAATCGGCCCCCGAGGCTGTTTCTAAAAGAAGAAGGGAGAGAGCGACCCAGGCCACTTGCAGAGAAGCTCTGTTCTCGCCAGACTGCCGCTTCCCATCTCCTCGAGGTGCCCCCCTCCCAGGGGGCAGGACGGGGGCGACCTCTCGGGACACGCCCTGGCATGGGGACCTCAGGCCAGGAGGGTGCCCACATGGGGGGCTTGCCCGGCACTCCACTACCTCAGGATTGGGTCCTCCGTGGGACTCTGTCCGGCAACAGGGCCCTCAGTGCTCCTGGACAGGTGAGTTAGGGGCACAGCAAAGGTCAAGTGCATGGGAGGACGGATGAAGCAGCTCATCCTCTGTCGCCTGCAACTCCCCACTTACGCCAGGACCACACAGATAAGAACCCTGTGCTCATCAGGTGGGCACCTGGCCACTCTCAGGACCTCCTGCAAGGGGCGTCACTTGTGTCCCAGAGCCCCTGACCAGCTGGGCCCCAAACTGCCCCGGAGTGGTCAGATCCATTCCAGGGCTTGGCTGAAGAGCAAAGCAAATAAGCCCTGATTCCTGGCCGTGCCTGGCCTCATCCCAAGGACCCGGGAGAGCCAAGTGGGGCTGAGATGTCTTCTCCATGGGATGAGCATGGGGAAACCAGCGCCAGCTGGAATGACTGCTATGTGCACATCTGTGCCCTGCGCACTGGGAGACTCGGGGCAGGGCTCCAGTGACTGGTGGGAAGAACGGATCCTCTCCTGTGGAGCTTCCTCCCGCTGGGTCTCCCCTGCTCTGACAGTGGGTCAAAAAGACAGGCCACCCCTGCTTGCTTGGCATAATTGGCAAACTTGCGCCCTGGAATGAGCAGTTCTCAACACAGAGTCCCCGTGTCTGATCCTGTCCTCCAAAAGCAGTGGGCCGACATGCCAAGGAGAAAGCTTTGCTTTTATGCTGGAGGTGAGGGAAGGGTACGGACACAGTCAGACTTTGGCTCTTCTCCCCAGGATCTGGAGAGGGCTCCCAGTGGTGTCCCTCGAGGTGCTGGGGCAGTCTGCAGTCACTCCAGCATCCCCAGAAGTGGATCCGAAAGCAGCTGGAAGGCAGACCCCTGTAAGCCACCTGCAGCCTGCGGTCCTAGTGGCGCCTCTAACACTGGGCTCCGTGGTCCTCCAGGTCTCCACCATAGCTACCTCCCACGTCCCTTTCTCCTTTCTTCGGGCAATGACTCAAACCAACCCCAAAACTTCTTTCTGTAGAACCAGAATGCAAATCGTCTCAGCTGTGCAGCATCCACCAATGGAAAGAAATGAGAATGATTCAAAGGGAAATTCAAGCCAGACAGGATTCCAACATCAGCTCTGTGCCGGGCTATTGTGGAAGAAGAAGGAATGTCTTTGGTTGGGGGGATCCCAAATGGGGATCACTCACGTCCCACCCCAGCCACAGGCCTCTGGCAGCCACGGTGGCATGGGGCCCTCGCCACCGTCAGGGTGGTTGGAGGAAGACCTAGAGCACCCGGATTCTGTCTCTGGGAATTCAGAGTCAGAGCTGAGAGACACTAGTTAGGAATGGCTGAGGCTCGAGAAATTAAGGAGATATAAACTTGACCACTGTGAGATGTGATGTAGGGCTGGGGATTTAGCTCAGTGGTTCCGGTGCCTGCCTCGCAAGTGCAAGGTCCAGAGTTCAATCCCTGGTACCAAAAAACAAAAACAAAAACAAAAAAACAAAAAGAGATGTGATGGCCTCATGTCTGACAAAGCAGAGACGGCTGGTTTGCAGCATAAGGCTAAGTGTGGAGGAGTGGGAAGAGAAGCACTCGGCAGAGGAGGGACAGCTCTCTGTTCTTCTGGGGTTGGTTTCTTAAGCCACCTTGAGTGGGCATTCTTCCTCGCTATGGCTTCATCACTATGGAATAGGGGTTGGTGTAGAAGACACCAACTGTTGACAGGTGGTAGCTCAGCTCAAGGATGGCCTTTTGTGAAGCTCTTTGGTCTTGACCTGGGCTGCCTGTAGAGGCTGTGCATTTCCTGTAACTGGAAGAGCCAAAGGAGATGGGTAAATGTGGCCAGGGCTTGTGGAGATGGCTCATCATCTCAGGGATGTTTGGACCAAGGAAGGTCATTAAGACCATTAAGTCCTACTCTCAGAAGGAGAATTCGTTGCTTCTCTCGTTAAGTTTCTTTTCTTCAGTGAGGATTACCATGGGGACCCTCACACTCCTGGCAAAGCCCCCAGATCCCGTGGCTCCTATAACAGTGGTGAAGGCAGCACCTCAGGCTAGTCATGGAGCCCACTCCTGCGGGGAGCACATGGGTGTGCTGGCTGTCCGAGGGCTGCACCCGAGACTGCACCACTCACATGGTTTGGGAAGACTAAGGCGCTCCATTGCCAAGGAGAGACTGGAGGCCCTTGTTAGCTCCACCACCACCACCACGTTAAGCGCCTACCCCCAAGAACTCCTTACTTCATGAAATCTGGAGACTTGGCCATTGCATGTTCAAACTCTGAGAAGGACAGCATGTTGTCATTGTCCAGATCCGACTCACTCAGGACCTGGCCAGGGGCAGGAGGGTCAGAGGAGCCTGGTGTCAGGTGGCAAGCTGCTGCGCAAGGGGAAGGAGGTGGATGCCTCATGCCCAGGGGCAGCCATTTGCTGGGATCTCAGCAAGGTGCTCAACACTGATGCCCAGGTCCCTGCCCTCTGGCTCCCTCCCCTGAGGCAGGTTCTCATCCCCTCCCACAGAGATGAGGGATGTGTGCTGAGGTCAGGGACCTAATGGGGCCACGTCCGCTCCTGGAAAGATTCTCCCCAGGGTCTTGAGCACCAGCTTGTTGTCAGTGAGGACGGGGGTGCCCTAGCCACCCAATCCCCCATCAACCAGTCAGCCACTGGAAGGTTTCAAGGTCTAAGAGCCTGGATCCCTGATCTCTCCTGGCTTGGGGGGCTTCCCTCACTTCTCATCACTGCAGGACATCTGGGTATTGTGCTGCTCTGGGTTAACACAGGGAGGACCCTGTGATGTGTCCATCTGAGGCCAAGCTGCCGTTAGCCCACCAGCCCCCTCTGATCACGGGGGGGGGGGTCCGTGGTGGGGGTGGAGCACAGTGCTCTGGGGCCCATGGGAGGACCTCGCAGGAAGGACTGAAAGTTGAGGGGTAGTTGCTGGCAGCTGCATGTCTACTTCTCAGGGCACCTTGTGCTGCCTATGCCATGGCAGTCGCCAGGGAATGTGTGGTCCAAAAGCGAGTGCATCATCTGCTTCAGGCTTGGCCCTGGGTCTCCTCCCAAGAAGGTAGGCTGACATCTGGGTGGCTCTGGGTGACAGTTTGAGCCCTCAGGCCCTTCTCTGCGACCCCTGGGTACATACCTGCTGTGTGAGGTCCATCAGCAGGTCCTCAGACACATCGTCACTGTTCAGTAGTCGCAGCACAATCCTCTGCAGGTCCTCCTCATCGATGAAGCCATTCTCATTGAAATCTGCAAGGAGGAGGCAGTGCCTGTGCTAAGAGGAGTTGGGGCTGTGGAGGAAGTGGTCTCAAGAGTCCTGGGGCCCACAGCAGAGACTACCCCAGGTGGGCCTGCAGTGGGGCAGGCTGCAGACAAATGCGGTGCTAAATAACATGGCAAAAACGACAATAATCACTGCATTGGGATGAGCAACACTGGATGCTCAGGCCTGTCCTGAAATCTAGACCTATTTTAAGTCACTGCAGCTTCATAATCCATCTTGTATTAGTCTTATTCTACCAAGAAGAAATTGAGGTACAAAGTTGTTCTAGGATTTATCCACACAGCCAGAAAGTGGAAAGGCAGGGATTCAAACCCAGCTAGGCCGACCCCTGAACTCCACATGCTATGGAAATCTTCATCTTGGAACTCAGAAGCCCAGATGTCTTTTGGTGCCAGGAGCCAGGCAGCACAGAGGAGTGGAAGGCAGCCTGGATTTGGGGCCAGAAGCCCTGGGTTCCAATCCCTGCACCGGTCCCTGTCCAGTAGCTGCATGAGTCACCTGAGTGTTTGTCTCCCCCACTCAGAGAAGTGAGAACAGTGGTTGTTGCAGCCCGTGCCACTCGGATTGACTTCCAGGACTCTGGCTATGCCCTCAAACAGACAGGGACTGAAGGCAGTGCTGCTTCCACCTCATCCCCTAACTCTAAGAACAGGGCGTAGGACAAATAGAGGCTCAGCGAAGGAGAACTACTCAAGGTCACCTTGCTAAGTGGTAGAGACATTGCTAAACCCCGGTAGCCTGCCTCTTCTGGAAGCCTATTCTCTCCATCTCCCATAACTGCATTTATTGCAATAACGTGCCTATTTTTAGCTGGGCATAGGATCACCCAAAAGGAACACTACACTTCCCATCTTCCTTTGCCCTAAAGTGGCCACATGACTAGATCTGATCAATGAGATGTAAATAGAAGAGGTCCAGGCAATTTTTGGAAAAGTCTTCAAAGACAGATCCTCAGGGACAATGAGTTGACCTTAGGAATAGAGGATAAAGCAACAAGTAGGAGGAACCTGGGTCCTGGATGCTGGGGCATTTTAGAACCACTGTGGACATTAAAGAAATCAACACATAGCTTCCAGGGATCTTGTAAGCTACCTTGCTAAAGCCACTGGTACTTATTAATTAGGGTTCTGTCACTGGCCACCAAATGTAATCCCAATTCATTATCTCAGCTTCAGTTTCTCCATTTCTAAAATGGGGATAACAGCAGTACTTCCAGAGTGAAAGAGAACAGGGAAATATATGGCCATCACCTGGCATAGAGTCTGGAATACAGAAGATGCTTGTCAAAATGGTATGGGCTCAATTCTACATCAGTGACTGACTGTTAAATCCTAAAAATGCAAACCTTAGGAACTATGTAATAGCCTACTGTAAAGAGTGAGAGCTAGAACTACATTGGGCTATTGGGGAAACTGAGGCCCTGAGTTTGCTGATGTTATGGGGTCCTTTGGTTTCAAAGCTAAGACCCCTTGGGCTCTGTTCCCAAAGACCACATATGGGTGTGGAAGGTACAAGCGGCCCCTGACTTCTTCAACAGTTCCTTTCTCCTGGCCAGAAGCTTATCAGCCCCAGGGACCGGAGCCTGAGGCCCAGGATGCTCATGGTGCTCTTCCTGCACGGCTCTGCCATCACACACAGGGAAATGACTCAGAGCTGGTGAAAGAGACAGAGGGACCTGGAGGCAGTGGATATCTGCAGTGACACCACACTGCTGGTGAGAAGCTCTGCAGCCTCTCCCAGAGACCCTGCAGTGTCCCCAGGCATCCTGCTGGCCCAGCTCCCGTATGCAGACACTGCAGCAAATGACATGGCTTTGGTCCCAAGCCATCTGGAGACAGACTAATTTGCTAGAGTAAATGTAGTCCTGGACAGTTCCTCTCCTTTGGGGGTGCAAGGGCGGAGCAGCCTGGGAAAAAGCTAGGGGCAGGAGTTCTGGGCTGCTGGCCAGGTCCTGGCCCCTGTGGTCCCAGCAGCCTCAGGACCACTCGGGAGGAGGTGGGGCCTTCCGCTTGCTGTTTCCCAACAGTGATGGGGCTTGCAGAGCTGGTGAAGCCAGGACTCAGCCTTCAGGTCCCTCCAAAGGACTCTGACCATCATCCTTCCAACGTCTCCCTCATTCGTATTCCTTGCCATTTACAAAATACTGTTAGAAAATCACCCACTGGTGTAGGGAGGGAAATGCTGTCACTGCTCTTCCCATGAGAACCAAGTCCTTTTCCCCTGTCTCCCTGCCACTGTTCTGCGGCTGTGTCAGGTTTTGGGAAGATGGGTCAGGACCTGCACTGGCCCTCTGCCTGCAGGGGATCCAGAGCTGGTGGAGGCTGTGCTGGAGGAACAGGAAGGCATGGCTAGGGTGTTGGTCTCCAACAGGTGGGAAATCTCCCCAGAGGTGTGGAAAGATAGAAGATTGGTCTGCTGGAGACCAGAAAGTCCCTCAAAACAGAAACTGGAGTCCAAGAAGTAAGTTCCAGGGAGATGTGGCTGGGATTGCTGTATTCTTGACCAGTTGCCATTCTTCTGACTCTTATCAACAGTTCTTGTTCAGGATGACACCACATTCAGCTTGAAATATGTAGCTTTCTAGCTTCTCTTGCAGCTATGAGTGGCCACGTGACATTGTTCTGGCCAATGAAATATGAACCAAAATTGCCAGGCACAGTTCCAAGAAAGCTTGTGAAAGAAGAGTTGATTAAGACATATGATTTTAAAAGACAGTGAATTTTAATAAGTCACATTGCTGCTAATCTCCATGAAAAATACCCTCCTTCTCTTCGCGCACACTGAGCCCCATCATTTTTGCCCCTTTCTGAAGCAGTTCTGGAAGTCCTCTTTCCTGTCTGTAGGTGGGCAGTCGTGGCTGTCTTGAGGTCCTGAATCGATTGAAAATGTTTACCTTTCATGGTCATTTTAACTTTGGAGAAGAGCCAGAAGTCATACAGTGATAGATCCAGTGAGTAAAGTACCTGAAGATACACTGTCATGTTTTTGACAGAAATTGCTGTAAACATTTGATCACTAGGGTTGACTTAAAATATGGTGAAATGTTTAAACTAAAACACTGATTATAATAAAAGACATAGTGCCATTTACCCCCTACAAAAACTCCCCTTCTTTGAATACACTTATCCCATGGTTCTTGGAAATGTGTCTTTTACTGTAGTAAGATTTTTTTGTGAGACAGGGTCTCGCTGTTAGTTGAGGCTGGCCTTGAACTCACTATGCAGCCCAAGCTGGCCTTGAACTTGCAGTGATCCCCCTGCTTCAGCCTCCCAAGTGCACAATATTTTTAAATTTAAATGTTGACTGTATCTTTTGATCACCCTTCTATTTGTGCCTTTGAAGGCATGCTTTGTCTTTCTCCCTTCTCCCATTCCCTCTTCCTGCCTAGAGTGAACATGAGATATCGGTAGGCACAGAAGCCATTCTGTGATCATGAGGACCATGACCCCATACTTTTGCGGGGACTAGGTAGCCCTTGGTTACTTCCTGGAACCACTGTCCCAGCTCTGGTCCGCATAGTTTCAGATGTTTTCCTTTTTTTTCTTTTTTAAATCAAGGACACTGTTACACATAACTGAATGCAATCCTGGCTGATGTAGTAGGTAGAGCACTAACGCTCAAATTCTGCTGCACATTGGAAATGCCCAGGGAGCTCTGAAAAAGCCTAACAACCAGGATATACCTGATACCATTACATCAAGTCTCTGGAGCTGGGGCCTCAGCATGAGTTTCGTTTGGGTTTTGTTTCGTTAACACCCATGATTCAGATGTGCAGCCAACTTGGAGAACCAGTGGGTTCAATTCTTAGACTTTCAAGGGTGGAGGAATTAGCAGGCATCCTGTAGGTTCTGATGCAGGCAGGAGTGTGGGTGGGGCCTGATGACCCACGTTTCCAAGACGCTTCCTGGCAGGGCAGCTGCTGCTCCCCAGGCCACGTCTGGAGTCACCAGGGCTGGGAATACTGACTCCGGCCTTTGGAGTTTTGCTAAGAATCATCACCACAACCATGACCAGACCACCTTTTCCTGCCTCTGCCTCCCCTCCCTTCCTTTTACTCCTCCTCTTGTACCTTCATTGCGACCACTGACCTGTGTGGAGGTCCTGAGTGGGCCCCACATGCCAGGCACTGGACACAAGGACTCACGAGTTCCAGCGCTAATCCTGCTGACAGCTGTGTGAGGCCACAAATCTTCTGAGCCCAGTGAGAATTCAACTTGGTCCAGGTGCATCAGATGCAGGCTGGCATGCATGATTCCCTGAGTATCTATGTGCACAGCTGATTTGCATGGAGGCGATGAGCTTTTGTTTTTGAGCTTGGATTCCAGGGGGAGGGAAGCTGTGTGCTTGAGGGGCCTGAAGGGGTTAGAAGAGGACACAAGAATGCTTTGGGGAACAGTGTCGTATCTGGTCCCAACCTGGCTCCAGGACACCATCCTTCGGGACCGAGGGATCTTCTCCAGGTCAGAGCTGACCATGGTTCAGCCCCTGTGCTGGGAGCCTACAGATGACCTGCTGCTTTTCTACCCTGTTACAGGATTTGGGAGTTTCTCTTTGGCTCCGGAAGCCATGGAAAGTCAGCAGAGCTGTCAGGACAGCTGCCCAGACTGCATTTTACCATCACTGAGCAACGTCAGCCCCCACAGTCTGTTGTTCATGAGGCTCTGCTTCTTCTGGCCATAATTAGGATGGAGCAAGGCAGTCCCCCACACAGGGCACCCACCCGGTCAGCGGTTTGCTGAGCCAGTCGGCACATGCCAAGGAACCGGAAGGGAGAAGCAGGTGCTTGGGGCTAATGAGTCGGAGCAGAGTTCACAGGCCCCGCGGGGCTGGGCAGTCATCTCAGGCTGATGAGTTCCGAGGTGTAAAAGTCAGAGAAGCAGAGGGGAGAGGGGAGGCAGCTGTGGAGAGGAGGAAATGCCCGCTGCTTCCTGTCTGCCCTGGGGAGGCCTGCTTTATTTCTGCCCTG